GGGGGAAGGAATGGAGGAGCTGGGGGGGGATGCAGGGGAGGACATCGGAAATGGCGTGCACGAGGGAAGGGTTAGATCAAAATAGGCCTCTGGACCCTTGCGGAGCTGCTGGCTTCAGCAACATTTATAGGTGTGACAGGTTTATTTCCTCTTGCTTTTGCCTGTTACTGGCTTTCCTTGCCCACCTTGGAATCCCAGTTCGTGACTTACCTTCCCTTCCAGCTCTGTTCAGGTATGTCGCCCTCCTCCCTCCCCTTGCTCCCCTGCTAAATGTGCTCCAGCTCCTTGTTATCTGTAACAGTAGGAGGTAATAAGGAGAAAAAAGTCAAACCCTTAATTCATGGATGAGCATAAAACCTAAACCAGCTCTTTTTATCTGTGGCATGCTTGCGGATCAGCTAAAGAGTTAATTAATGCCTATTTGGAGTCTCTCATGCCTTGTGGGGTGGCACTGTGTATAGGTATGTCAGAAGGAAAAAAGGGGGTTTGCTGGCTTAGCTAATGGAGTTTGGGAAGGGGAAATGGAAAGCTTTTGCCTGTGTTACTCTGCTAGCATGGCTTTGTCATGGACACAGCCGAACACATAAACTCTGCAGAGGGACTACATCTGTACTGATGGTATGAAGTATCACTTCCTCCGTGCTGCTGTGTGACTGAGGTGGGTACAGCTAGGTAGAAACAGCAACTCAGGGCTTCAGTCTCTTAACAGCCAGTCCTGTCTCATCTCTGAAGAGTCAGTGTTAACTTACTGCAAACTTTGTCCTGTAGAAAGCCCTGTGAAAGTGAAAAGAATTAATCTCTGTGTGTTGGTGGTGGGCAGGTGCCTGTCCATATTTTTTTTTTTTCCTCCACGGAAAAAAATCACTTTTCTGTTCTAGTTCTTGACTTGGGAACAAGCTCCTTATTGAATGGAAATAAATTTGCCCAAAGCAATGATGAGCGAAGTATAGCCTGAACTGGTATTGCTGAGGCTGTGTGTCTTTGCTCTGACCAGGGCATGATCACGTAATCTTCTCTCTGAGCTTATTTAGGCTAAGCTCATCTAGAGTAAACAGCTTTGCATCTTCTTGAAACTTTTTAATGCACACTAAAAATATTGGAAAAATACTAAGAATTTTTAGCAATTTCTTTTACCAGCAGAAAAACAAAACCTCAATTGAAAAGTGAGTAGTGCAGACATTTGTTTGGATTTGTGTATCATACTGCTACGCTGCATTTAATACAGAGCTTGCAGTGAGAGGGGTTTCTTGTTTTTTTTCTCCTATGGGTGACATGGCTTATGAAACTCCAGATACTCTGCCACTGTGTCTCCTCCGTTTGTAAATGCAATGCAGGCTCTATAAAATGGAGTGTGAGCTGACTGTGCTGTATACACCTCGTTAGCAGTTGGTTCAGCTGTATTCTTAGTCAGCAATTGTCAGCACTGAGGCAGGAGTATTTTTGCAAGAGAGTTGTGGTGTCGGGCCTGGTTCTGGTGCTCTACTCTGGATGAAGTGCAGCCCTTTTGGGGCAGCAGGGGAAAGGCTGGGCTAATGAAGCAAGTACTGGAAAAGATACGGAGTTATTCTCTAATCTAGTTTTTATTCTCTTCCAGGTCTTGGTGACAGCTTTACATTCATTTCCCTTCCTGTGGAGAAGGAAGCTTCTATGGGGAATATGTACATAGGACTATAGTTATGGTGGTTTTCTCTTAACAGGAGAAGTGATGTGGCTTCTTGTTAAGGAAGCAGGGAAAGCAACTCAGTTGCTAATGCACTAATTTTTAAAAGTGTCTAGATGAGTCATGAATGTGGCTTAGGTTCACTAAGCATTTTTTTAAAAGACTTGAGAAGTGAAGTTCTGACAGTAATGTAACAGGCAACTCCAGTGTGGCTGTTAATGTCGATGTCATTGTATTAAGCAACAGAACAAAGCATCCTGGATGCATATATATGTGACTGTATAGAAATCATAAATCAGTATGTAAGTCCAAAGGTTGGTTTAATAAAGTTGGTGTTCCTTGAAAAAATCTTTTCTTGTCTACCTTTAGACCATAGTGGCTTTAATAACACTATTACAGTTAAAAAGCAGATAAATAGGAATCTTTATAACTCAAATTGGTTTTGTAGCTCTTGTTTTAGACAATAAACCTGATAAACAGGAATGTATTTGGTTACTAAGGTCAGGAGGGTTAGAAGAAGCAGTCAAATCCAAGTTGGTATTCTGCAGCCATGTGCAGTCTATCTTTAGACCATCGTGGCTTTAATAACACTATTACAGTTAAAAAGCAGATAAATAGGAATCTTTATAACTCAAATTGGTTTTGTAGCTCTTGTTTTAGACAATAAACCTGATAAACAGGAATGTATTTGGTTACTAAGGTCAGGAGGGTTAGAAGAAGCAGTCAAATCCAAGTTGGTATTCTGCAGCCATGTGCAAGAACAGTAATCTGCCAGGTAACTGCTGAGCCTGCCATCCTGGGCTTAATGCCTGGTAGTCAGCTAGGCATTAAAGAACAATTTAACATTCAAAAGAATAATTACAGCTATTCAGAACTGCAAGGCTTAGATGTGGGTGGTTCTGTGCAGGTCTGGGAGCTGGATGGAGCTGCCATGGAGCTGGCTAAATGGAAGTCTGGCAGGGGCGGGGTGTGGTGTGGGGAGAGGTGGAGTGGAAGGCAGCCCGGGCCTGACAGGTGGGCATCTGGTGTCCAGAATGGAGAGAGGAAGAGAGATTAAGCCTGCGAGAAGGAGGTGTAGAGGCCGTGGAGCAGCGTGCATGCAGGCAACTTGGTTGTGCTGTTCAGCAGTTAGTGAATCCTTCTGGATTAGATGGGAAGATGGTGCAGAACTTGCCAAAGAGCTCTGCAGTGCTGGCGGGCGAGTCATCATCAGTCAGTCTGTCCCAGGTCTGCCCTGCTTCTCTCTGAGCTGCAGACAGATAATTTGGAAAGTATAGCAAGGATAAAAGGAAAACAAACCTATCCCAAAACTGAATTGTCAGTCAAATCCTTCAGCCCTTATTTAAATGAGCGGTTGCACCAGAGTCAACAGGACAATCAAGCACACATCTGTCTAATCATTGTAAGACGCTCCAGCATCTTGGATACTGGCTTATCACAGAGATGACTATTTCTGTGTACGAAGCAAAACTGATGTGGTAAGTGATGTGAATTAATACCCAGCCCAAAGCCAGCTAGTTAAAAGTGATTTGAAATATCAGAAAATCTTGCACTTTGTGCTTTCTTTTCCAGTAAAACGTGTGTGCTCTCACTGGCTTTCTAAAGGAAGAGAGGTGTCTTTATGGATCCCATAACTATGGGAGAAATGAGACAGTTTTTATTATTCCATAGTGGCACAGGTAGAAAGGTCTCAAAGTTGTATAGAGATAATAAGCATTGGGGACCAATCTCATTTGTTACAGATGTTTTCGAGAACATCTTTGGGAGGATGCAAATTACTGTACTTTTCCCCATGTTATTCAATAACCTTGCTATCTTGCTTACAGGTAAAGGAGGATATTAAAGATTTTTATCTTCTGAAGCAGAGCTAAAGTGGGGGAAAAGGAGATGATTGGTTCAGTGGATTAAATGTTAGAGTGTATCTCTTAATCTGGAAAGACCATGTACTTTGTGCAGCAAACTTGGCTCTTCATATTCTATAAGCAAAGTCACAGTGACATCTGGAATAGCTAACTGCTGCTCCCTAGAGCCAAGTCAGGAAAAAACCTTCCATCATGAAAAATCGGGTGTCAAGCAAGAACCAGCTGTGATGTCACAGGTTTTCTCTTCTCCTCCGTTCAATGAAAGGATGCTTTGTTACATATGAATGTACTACGTGGCTGGGACTGGCATAATTGCAATGTAGTACTTAAACATAGACATCAAAGATTCCCAGCCTACAAAATTCTAATCTTATATCCATTGTTATCATCTGCAAAGATGAAAGCAGCTTTAGTCTAGTCTTCCTTATGTAAATAGAGCCCCTAGAGGAGCAAGCTCTGTTTTTTCCAATCCTCAGAAAACAAGTAAGGTTCTCAATCAAGGAAGAATTTTGCTTTATAAAAGCAGAAAATAACAGATTCAGAGACTTATTTAACAAAAAACAACTCTCATCATTTGGCACAGTTGCTGCTTTAATCTGGTTTGTCATTTTTCTCTGTCATGCAGAAAATGTAATCTCTCTCTCTTGCATCCTTCTTTGCACACATCACCCCTTGTTCCTTTAAAGAGTCAAAAGTTTTAATTTAGCATTGTGGATGGGAATTGGGGGTGTGAAGTTCTCCATTCAAAGGTGAGTAGCCTGAAAACCCAGGAAGACTCTGAAGAACAGCATGATCAGAGGAGAGGTTTAAGCCTGTCTCTACCTCTTTGACAAGCACTAGTGCCAGAGATCGCCCTGGGCAGCACGAGCGCCTGGGAAGCTGCTAAGGGAGGAATAACTCACCTAAAGAATTTTCCCTACCTCTTTATTTTGCTGGCTCATGCCCTTGAGCAGAACTTTCACTAGCGATGCTCTTTGATCCTCACATCCGCATTCATATCCAAATTACTGTTTCTTCCCTTTTGGATGGTCTTTGAAGGCATTTCTGTGCTGGCTGACAGGTTGTGGCTGTCCGCTCCCTCCGAAACTGTCACAGGGTGTTTGAACAGCTAATAAACGAAGGGGAGAGCCTTACCAGAATTCACAAAGGCAGCAAAACTCTGATGCACCACCAAGTTTAAGGAGCTTTAGACGATGAGCTGCAGTGGTTGAAAGTCTTCTGTGGGACATAAGAAAGAGTGAGTTTAGCCTCACTGCTACCCAGCAGCCCAGCTGCTAGCCTCGGAGATGTATCTCTCTGGAAGCATGGGGCAGGCCTTTCAGCTCTCAGGAGAGTACAGTTTGACAAGGTGCTGCAGCTCTGTGGCATAGCCTGTGATTGGGCAGCGCTGGTGAGTCTTCACGTAACTGTACACACAGCGGTAGCAAAACACAAAGCCAGAGGTGGACAGGGCCGTGGCATTGACACGAATTTTGCGGCACAGAGGACACACTGTCTTCAGTTTGGGTAAGAGAGCTGAGCCGGCCCCGTGGTCGAGGTGCATGGGGGGTGGAGGATTTGGGAGCGCTGTCAGAGATTTGATTGTCTCTTGGTTTTCTGAGGAGTACCACCAGTCCAGGAACTGGAGGAAGAACACGCTGATGGACAGCCCGGTGGACAGGGAGAAGGCAATGCCACCTAGTGCCTTCCTCACTGCTGACTGCACTTGTGTTTTAATGCTGTGAAGGAGAGAGATGATACGGAGGAATTGTTAGTACTGCACATTTGTCCATCTGCAAACCAACGCAAAAAGGTCCCAGGGAGTAAGTCACTGCTTTATACAGCTTCTTAATGCTAAGTAGCTTGGTCAACATATCCCATGTTTGTAATGAGGCTCAGCTAGGCTGTTTCTCCCAGATTCTCTGTATTTTAAGAAAGCTTCAAGTCCTGTTTTGTTCGGAAGTCTAGATTAGAAGAGTTTGGATTGAGGGGACCTGGACCACAGTGTGTTTCACTCATGGATCATCGTTTTACAGAACGTTAAGGGTGGTCATAACTAGCTGCTGCTCAGAAAGATTAGAGCGCTACGTTTCAGTCCTTTTAGCAGTATTGTTACAGTCTACTTCCCTTATGAGAGAAGTGCAGTTGAAGACTGAACAGTATAAAGGCTGGAGTACCAATCCCTGCCCCCCCCGCCCCCGCCAACATTGCAATTTTATTACCACGAAATCTTGTGAAGCTAATCCCTGCTACTTTTTTCCTTATTTACACTAATGATATACCCTTTTGGAGCACATTTTCCCAGAGATAAACTTCATCTTGAAGAATTTCTGGAGAAAAGATAGTTTTACTTGCAGCATCACCTCCAAATTAACACAGCCACAGAATCCCCTAGAAAGCAGCAGCTAAGTCATGTTCTGACATACCTGTGTGCTTGACTTGAGGTTGTTCCAGCCAATTTCTTCTCCAGGGCCTGGATATCCTCTGCAGTCAGTCTGACCAGGCGAACGCCAGCCAGGCGCAGCATGGGTGAATGATGCTGAGCTTTGCCGAGGATATAGCACAGTTGCTGGATAAGAAACCAGCCCTCCCAGGTCATGTTTACAAAGGGGTAGGCAGCTAGAAAGGCTCTGTAAAAGCGCTTCCAGGATGATGATGGAGGGTGGATGGAGTACTCATCCTCTTCCCTCAGGCTGGACACCAGTTTCTCTAGCTTTCCTTTCAGATAAGGAACAAGAACCAGCAACAGGAGAGACTTCCAGTGCTGCCTCTTTGGCAGGCCAGCAGTGGCCAGAGGTTGCTGTCTGCAATCTCCTATGGGTATCCTCTTTAAGCTATAGAAGTTTTCAGAAAAGGAGGCGCTGCACCTGGCCAGATAGTGCTGCTGGAGCAGCAAATCCAGAAGGATGTAGATCTCATCAAACCAGTGCCAGAGGAAGCTGTATTGCCCAGGATTAGACTCAGCAAGCACCTATGGTAAGGGACACAAAACAGAAGGAACTGGAAGTGATGTGTTAAATTACAGTAGCTATAAATTATGCCCTCCAGTTCATAAAGCGAGCTGTGTGTGTCAAAACTGTTATACTAGCTTGCGAGCCTGGCCAGAGGTAAACCCTGGCGACAAGGGCTCAGCACAGAGCTGTGCAGCCTCTCCACGGTCCTCTTTGCAGCAGTTTCCCCACAGAATATTCACCCTCAAGACGCTGCTCACCTCAGTGTCCTGCTCCCCACAGCGCGGTGCCTC